ATATATATATATATTTCTAAATGAAATCAAAGCCTACCATTAAACATGACTTTACAGATGTTTCTGACAAAGCCGAACATAAAAGGTGTAGGATTCAATTTAGCGCTTGTTCCTGCATTAAACCACATTTAATGATTTCTTTCCATGGATGGAGGTGCTCAGCTGCCATGGAAATGTTTTTGTTAGGTGGCTGAATTAACAGCATGTAAGTCTGCTCCTTGTGGTAACTTTGTGGGGTTTTTTTGCTGTAAAATCAAGTCAGCACTGTTAGCTCAGAGCTAGTTAGCTAGCTCGTTAGGAGAAAGCACTTTTAAAGATAGCAGAAGGACAAAATATATGACTTTACAGAAATTGTAAACTGGTTATTTAACAAAACAATTAAAAACAAAACAATAAAATGCTGGCGGTTTAGTCTGTGTGTTTTACATTGTAAACGTCCCTATTAGTGACACTAAACAACAATCTACACGTGTCCAACTCCCGACAAACACTGTCGCCATATTGAAGGTGGTTTTTCCCACCTGTGGCCAAAAAAATACCAAAGAAAATATTATGCAAAACTTACCACTGTTTTGAAGATAGTTCCCAATTCTTCAATGAGTTTTCTATGGACGTGGAATACAAAATGCAGCCCAGACTCCAACACTCAGACAGAACCAAACGTGTCAAACACTCCTGAAATTTCACCGTCCTAATTGCCAATTAATCCAAGATGGCCGCCTGATTGTGTCAGGTGGGTCATACCATCCAAAATCTGAGCATTTGGGCTCGACCATCTCTGATTTACCTGAAGTTGTTAGGAAATTAAATATGTGTGTTTATGGATATATCAGTTAAATTTTTCACTTTATGTATCAAATTATTATTAGATTTATTTTCTTATTTTTCTAAATTGTCACCAGAGACACTTTCAGCACTTTTTTTTTTTTCATCTATTGAAATTAGAGGCTATGTTTGAACAACAATATCTCAGGAACTATTACTGATTAAAGCTTGTCATTTTCACAGTTATTTCCCATTATACTATTGATTTAGAACCTGCAATATTCGACAAGCAGATCAACTAGTCTCTTGATTATGGGTGAATTGACATATGGAACAAAAAAAATTAACCTATGAAAGGGTCCATCTTTGAGCTCACATTCACAAAAAATAGATAATGCAGAACCTATTTTCTGAACCATGTGAGGTTGCATGTCAGAGTAATAAAAACAAAACATACAGATAACATTTTAATATGGAACACATGGTCACAAAAATGAAAATAGTTATTTTCGTTGAACTTCCTTTACTGATTGGGCAGGTATGGCAAGTTGTAACGCAAAAACAAAAATATTGCTAGATAAAATGGCTCTCCAAGCCTAACTAAGAAAGGAATTTTTTTAATACAGCCATAGAATATTGTCTTTAGTAAGTCTGGATGTCACATACCTAAAGATCTGCTTTTTAATGACGGCTTCAATTATTTTTCGTATTTCAGAGATTTTTCATTTATTTGTCCAATATGGAAGATTCTGAAACCCATATGGAAGGTGTATAATTTCCATTATTTAGATGAATTACATTTCTGACCTATTTAATGTGATTGTCCAAAGTGTCATATTTCATGGGTCATTTCCAGTTGTCGTGTTTAGTTACTTTCAAAACTAGCTAAAAGTCTCCCCTACGTAGCTCACAATTTTTTATTTGATTTTTTTGTTTGTTGCTGCTAGATAGAAAGGTCATTGTTAATTAAAAAATGTACAAACTTTGATTTTGTCTAATTTATCCATTCTCGTTAACATGGGGGGATAAGCATGTTTTTTTCAACTCACAGCAACACTACATCATTAAACAACCAAGTACGCACTACATTGGAAAATGATAACGGGCAGGTTGAATGGGGTCATAGACCAGAAATCACAAGTGAGTATCCGGTCACACGTATGTCATGCATACAGTTAATGATCTTGTTGATGCCGCTTCAGGAATGTTGTCCCACTCTTCCTGAAGGGTTAGGGTTAGGTTAGGGTTGGTGAAGTTGGTGGACATTTTCAGGGACAGGACCAGGTGGTCGGCACGTCCATCCAGAGCATCATGTGACAGACTGTTTGTCACATTGTGCTGTCTAAAACTATTCCTTAGACGACAAATGGTGGCGTTTAAGTGAAACACCAGCATCCAGCCTGCCTCTAGTCCGTTCTGATCTTTCCATTGTCTTCTGTGGCACTGTCTAATTTTATTAAAGCTGCATTTTAAGGTGGACTTTTATAACCACTGGTCAAAAGAGTGTCTTTGTTCTGGTCACACTATGTGATAATTGTCTTTTAATCCACACCTGACCAAGGATGAACTCAGTGTTTGAGAATTTTTAACAGTTGCTCAATAACTTAAAGGGAACTAGGAACTGAAAATGTATTTGAGTCATCATGCCAGTGGAACTGTTTCATCATTTTTCCAATCTGAATGCAGGTGAAGAGAAGGCATTTAAAAACAAATAACACTCATTACACATTGCACAGAAACCTACATCAAACCTCTGGAAAGTGAACACATCATGTAGTTCTTTTACGTTCTATCCCTGATTCTTTTCTTCCATCTTGATTTCTCAAACATCATGTAAACTACGCTGAAGAAACACGACACATGCATAAGAGGTTGGATTTTATTTAGTCCACTTTTAAAATTTACATTTTCTGTTGAGATTCATTAAAAAAGATAAAGCATCATCAGCTTTGCAGTCCGTATCACAAAGAAACTGCAATTAGGAAAGAGTGAAGTAGAGTGAAGATGACTTAGTAGGCACATTTTTTTTAAAAGATACATGTTAATCTAATTGATGGCAAAATATGTACAGCGATGATTTTTTTTTATCTTGTGGTAGCACATGCTTGGGATTTCTGAGGGAGAGTCAGCAGGTTAGTAAAAGCACAGATCTATGCAGACAAAGACTTTTTAACTGTCTAAAAAAGATGCATCAAGTTGACTACATGAGGCAGTCAATTACCCAAAACTGTATGCCAGTTCAATTTAAAATAAATTAAACCTAAGAGGAGAGAGAAATGAGGAAGGGAAAGGAGAAATGAACCTGTGAAACTAATTGACCAGTGCTCGTCAAACTAAGCATTTAAACAGACTCTAGCAAATGTTCCTCCATATGAATCAAGAATACTGAGCTAAAAATGGACATGACATCCACCTGATGAAATAACTTGAGAAATAAATTAGAAATGGAAAGTTGTATTAGTATGCATTTATAAAGAGTACCTGATTTTCTCTCTCTCTAGCCTAAGTTTGATACCTTTGCATAACTTATAGAAAACCTGTCACGTTCGTTTAAAAACTCACAGTAATTCATTCATTAATCACAAGTCCTGATACCATCTAATACAGGTACAGGATTCTACCCTGCAGAATCCGTATACCATCGAGTCAAACACGTTGGATATTCCATACAAATAAAGGACACTTCCTGTTTATATACATAACACTTTTGTACAGTCTTTGCACTTCCATTATAACAGATTGAAGCATCTCCACTTACAAAATAAATGGAAATCAAATCATGTTCAGTGGATTAAACCTTGAGTGAATCCGAAGCTTGAATTTAGCACTTGGTTACATTAAAAATGAACAAGTTCAACTGCCTTTGTTTTGAAAGAAAAACTAACATGTCTGTGAAATTCTGTTGTACTGGGTTTCGGGTTTAAAGTTTGCGTTAGACACAGATCAGGGGTCAGTTTAAGCCACCCACCGTAACTTGAGGAAGAAGTAACCTGTGAACTGTGTCCAACGAAACTTCACCCTGCTCCAGCAGCAGAAACTGAGCTGTTAACCGGCTATGCTAACTAGTAATGTCGCATTGACCAGGTACTGTGATCATGTTATCAAGTGATTTCACTTACACTCCAAAACAACATCAAACAGCATTACAATTTAAGGAAATGTTAACTCTGGATCAGCCCACAGGCTGTTGAAAGGTGAACAAAAAAACTATAATCCTTTTAGGAGGCAGTGAATGTTCAAAGTTCATGAGTCTGCTTAAGTCAAACCCCAAAGACTAGTCCAGTCATTCCACCTGCTTTCATACTGCATACAGCTTATTCCTGGCCCACACCTCTTCCTACTACTGTACACACAGTGCTCTCCTAGGCCTGACAGCAGTGTAAACTAAAGACAGTTGAGTGGCTCCACTGGCTCTTAGACACTAAGGATCTTGTGAGGTGGAACGTGATAGTTGGACCGTCCCAAAACACAAACCAGAACCTACACTGGTGTAAAAGGTCTGGTAGTTTGGGGGTTTGGAGGGTGGGTTGAAGCTTGGGACAACAGGGTCACTTGGGTCCTTTGGTGGGAGTATCTGTCTCTGTGGATTGGCGGCCGTCGCTCCAGGCCTCCCGGGTGCTCTTAAGGGCCTGTGTCCGTTGCTGGTCCACAACCACATAGTCTACACGCTCATCTGATGCCGTAATGCCAGTTCCATTGCTTTTCATCTAAAAAAAAAAGACAAAGGTGGTCTTCAAATGCTTTGAAACGGCCTTTAACTGAGGAAAAAGTGGTTCAGAATGTTGTTACACCCTTACCTTTCTAGGTGGGGTAGATTTACCGGATTCAAGGTCCAAATCCAGGTACTCCACCTGCTTGTCTCCCTTCGGCTTCACCATGGGGCTACTCCCACCATCCGCAGTCATGGGCGCAGCATGCTTCATGATCTGCGTAAGCCGGAAAAAGACGCTTTAGTTGATGGCAGAGTCGCAGTGACACACAACTCATATTCAAATACACTAACGTGTTGTCACAAAAACCAAAATTTCTTTGCAAACATTGCAATAGATCTGATTTACCATAAAAATAGTAGTTTCACAAAGCATGTCCTGTAAACCCACGATCAGCACCATCTTTAGAGAGTGTTCTTTACTGGTAGAGTTCATGGATTGGAAATTTAACGGATGGCTGCGACTGACAGTTTAAGCAAAATTCACATGTACAGTTTTCAACAAAATTCACAGTCCGTGTAAACTGGTTGTCAAAAGTGAATTATATTAGCACTATTTAGATGAAGTTGATTATTGTTTCATTTTAAGATCCATTGTTTTAGTGCCCATCTTTTCATCTAGTTAGGCCCTTTATTGACAGTCACTATACTGGCAAGATTCACTCAAGTGTGAATGCACTACTTTGCTAATACAGCCAACAAAAGTGGGCACCAAACCAACATGTTGCTACAAAGATGTCTCTCAACAATAATTTTCATTAGATTTTTTTTTAACAGGCTTTTGGTACTTTGGTTCAGACTTCACAGATTAATGTTTAGTTTGTTTTGAGTCTACAATGCTTTCTATACGTTTGTATTAAATAAAGCAGTGGCTCAGAGACAGCTTTGTGATTTACTCTTTTTGTCAGGAAGATTAAATATCCAATCAAAGATCAACATAAAGACCATTTGTGTTGTTAGAAAAAAGTAAACTTTGGTATTGTGACAACAGTATGGTACATGTTGGGCCTATAAGTGTTAATTGTGAACTACAAGTAGTGTGAAGTTATTAGAACTACAATGGTGGCTAGGACTAAGGCATACTATCTGTGAGGAAAGTGATGGTATGTCACATCTAAGGATCACTGCAACCCGTGCATCCAGCTTGTAGGTGGTATTGGGTACTGATTTTAACACAACAAAAACTGTTTTATGTACTTTCTGATCTAATGATAGCACCTGAAAACAGCAACCGCTGGTGTTCTGACAGGGCAGGCCATGCATATCTAACCTGGCAACCCTGCTCACCTCCTCTATGGTGTCAAGTTCCTCCACCTCCCTCTTTACAGGGGTGATGGGGACTGTGCAGTAGAAGGACTCCTCTCTACACAGAGTGAGAAGGAAGTAGTTGCAAAGGAAAAACAAGAGAACAGCAGATGAACAAAATGCAAGAAAAGGGAGATGGATGAAGCCAGAGCCTGACCAAGCCAGAGAAATGAGAAACTTGGGAGAAAGAAATTAACATGTGTGATGAAAGAACAGGAAGTCAGCAGATGATATGAAAGCAAATGTTAGGGGAAAAAGTAAACAAACTGTTAACGGCAAGAAAAATAAGAAAATCGTGAATCCAATACCAAACTGTGGAAAGTACCCCTGTGGATAGAAATAGTATCCCTCAATATCTCTGTCTGATAAATCCAGTGTTATTCTCCAGAAAGGAGAATGCTGTATAAGTCAGTAGTGCCTGTTTGAGCAGTCGTTTCTGAATGACTAAAGGACATCTTAACCTGATTTCATTAAACCCAAGGCTCAATGAAAAGAACACGACACCTGAAAATCAAAAGAAGAAAAACAGAGAATAAAGAAAGGCGAGCAGCAGGACAAGAGGAAACTGCAAAGAAAAGAGTTGAAGTGGCGAGGAGTCCATCTGCAGCAACCAGTAACTTGTGCACACTAACGTATGGCTTAAGAAGAACAGCATGGACGGGAAATGGGATTTCTTAATAGTTTCTGTAAACAGTTACAGCTTAACATTCCAACTGTTGAGCATGGTGTTCAATCCTAAAAAAAAAAAAAAAACTTAGCCTGCCTCATACTAAATCTTCTGCTCTATTTATGATGCATATGTTGTGAAAACTGTTTCTTCAGATTTCATTTAAATGAGATGAAATAGATTAATGGAACCACAAAAAAACACAAAATAACAATTAAAATTTAATTACACGTTTATCACAATGTGTTGTGTAGCTTTGATTAACTGAGATTTGAAAAGTAGTGAAGAAAGTAATTGTGCAACTTTTTTTTTGTTTTTTTTTAAATCAGAGGATAGTTGTGTGTTACATACTGGTTCATCTGTGGGCATATTAGAGACCATCGCTACATAATTCTCAGCAGAATCCTCGGAGTCAGTGCTGGAGGCCGTGCTATGCACTGACGGGGGTCTCGTTGGCATTGGGAACCTAGAGAGACTGAGCAGCATTCACAATGTTTACACACTGACTTCCAACAAATTGCAGTCTCTGGTGAGCACAAAACATAATACAGACATAACAGCGACAGCTATAAACCACTGCAGCCAGAAGAGTCCCTGCAGCGCTAAAGCACAGAAATAGACCTCATCTCAGATAAGCCAACAAGCTGCCTTCAGTATGAGGCAGATCCCAGACCTGCTTGCATGAGCAGTGCTACTTTGGTCACGCAGTGACTACAGTAATGCATGAAGTGTTAGTTCCTACTGCTTCAGTTAATTGTATCCACTACAAAAAGGTCATGTTTGCACCAAAGTCCCCTTTCCTAGCAAAAAAAATAAAAAATACTCAACTGTATTTCGTTTAACAAGCAGATGGGACAGAGCACAACATTTCCACAACAGCATGAGCTGCATGATATGTGGGGCAGTAATTTTTTTTTTCTCTAAAACTTCTCAATAAGTAATAATCCAGAGCATTACACCACAATCTAAAAATAAAAGTAAGGTTCACAGGAAAGCAGAGTAGTGTTAACATGACCTTGGTTGTTAGCAAAATGTAGAAATATGAAAAATGCTGCAGAACATTTTAGATACTTACTCCCGAGCAAACGACCGCGTAACCGGTGAGCGTACAGGTGTACAGGGCTCCTCCCATTCTGGCAATGGTTTGATCTCCAGTGGAGCGGGTTTTCCTGAAGCAAGGTACACATACCAGTCAGTCACTGCTTAAGAAACACGCCTAGACTACACCTATGTAAGGCTGTCAAAAGCAGAAAAATGTTTTATATTGCAGAGATTATTGATCTATGTGTTCGTAATCTAGTGTATTCATTTTGGGTTTTATATCACAAGGCCATGAATAGAACAAATAATGATGACAGTACAAAAAAATGATACATGTACTGGTGCTTCTTTTGGATATTTAGAAAAACCTGGATTTAAAAATTATTAATATTACAAAATACAGGTCAAATGCTGTACTTTGTATTTATCAATCAATAAATACATATTATTCAGCAGTTCATTTGTATCCTCTGTTAATGCTTCCCTTCAACTTTTATTATAAGAACTTTTAAGTCCTTATCCCAAATGAAACATACTGAATGGTGACTAACTGCAGCGGAATACATCAACTGCTGGATTTGTGGGGATCTATATTAAGCATGATCAATCATCTTTTACAAAATGTTTAGAATTATTTCTATGAAAAACCATAAAAACTGGCTAAATAGTAGTCCTATGTTCTATGCGAACCTGTGGGGAACGTAAGTCTGATATGGCCTCTAACTATATACAGTATGGTCACCGTGGAGGGATCATTACACGCAGCTTCCGTTAAGGGAAGCAGGAATACATACTTTAAGCAGAGGGCAGCCACTATATATGTGCACCGACAGGAGAGCGGATACGCTTGTTTATGTGAGGTTCTCTTTTATTAGATGATATCAATGTTCAATTTCCTACTGAAGAGCCATCTCCTACTTTCCTGAGCTTTGTGAGCGTTTTAGTGACAATAACCCTGTTGTGGCTGCTACATCTTAATGTAGGTTTTGGAAGCACAATATGCTGAACTGGAAACACAAAGAGAAATGTTTGGGAAAAAGAAATGTTAGTGAGGTATTTGGTTGACTGGATGTAAGAAATCACATTAGGGTGTGGGGATATTTTAGGTAAGGTGGTAGTAACGGTTTATTTTGATAGGCATGTTATGACTGTTCATGAGCTTCAAAACTGTAAGTGCAATCCTCCATGCATGAAGTGCCCAGTCATCCATCTCCTGCTGGGATTTAAAATGATTAGACTGGATTAATGCAGCGGCTCTGACATCCATTTCATATTTTTAGAACCCACATCCCTGAGAAACAAGAGAAATCCCTCAGTAGATTACTTACAACATGCAAAGAATCAAAATTAAGTAGTGTGCAGAGGTCAAAGAATGGCAAGTATTCAGATACACAATAGCAGTTCGGTGTGGTGTACCTACCCTTGCGTCGCCTCGGGAATTCACCTACGGTTTGAGAGTCGGTTCGCTCTAAACAGACACCTTTTGCTCTTATTATTTTAGGACTCTGACCTGATTGGTGAAAGAAGACTTTGCTTATTATAAATTTCTTTTAGTGATCACAACAGTTAAGCCCTACTGTAACAATTGCTCTGCCATGCAAAGCAAAAGACGAGACTTTGCTGAACAGCAAAACTACACCCTCACGTACACCCAATCACCTTTATTTGTGCAGCACACTTTATGAGAATGATTGTCATGACAACAGCAGACCCATACTGCCCAACATGCACCTCACTCCATGCACCACGGCTTCCCACACAAAGACTGACATCACAGCTGTGCATGCATGATGAGCTGTGTATAAGCACTCAGAGTACACTGAGAAATCATGTTGAGAAGCGCACATATCAATCTACAGAACACAGTTAACTTGTTGATGACACACATTGCCTCGTTCATATTAACATAGTGATGACAACATTTTTTGCTGCAGTGCCGGCAAGAGCAACAAACCTAAATGTACCACAATTCCAAGCTGAGAAACTTTATTTCAATTGAATCACCTTTTGTGTAAGTAAAATGATGCTGGCCTTGAATACACATGTCAAAGACTTCACAACATGCAGCTGAGATATCCAGAGCAGAAAGAAAAGGACACAGAAGATGAATATAGCTGGTAGAGATTCATTTTAGTCCAGAGAACAGAAGAATATTGCATGGCTCATGGTAAAAAAAAAAAAAAAGAATAACAGTCAGGGGAAACTCGGAATAATGTGATATTCAACTTATTTATAAAAATGAATTCACTCATACTCTCTATTTTTAAAAAGTAAATTTCAAAGAATCACCATCTCATATAGCAATGCTGCTGAATAGCAATATCGCTCACTAATGTTTACTCTACTTCAGATTCACTCTGAATATTAAGCTTAAGATATTCAGGGACATCAGCCAAAAAGATTTTTGTCCATATTCTGAATTCACTATGCTTCATACTGGTCTGTGTGCCATTTCTAATACAAAATGCAACTGCAAAAAGATCCAAGTAGCTCAAATCCAACATCCAAGTGGAGTAAATTTTGTGCCAGGAGCAGTGGGATGGAGGGTTAAAGCTACACTATGATAAGATATTTTTTTGCAGCACTTTTCAAATCATGAAATCACTGTTTTACATTAAATAAAAAATATCTCATGGAAATGGCATCAGGAGACAAAGACAACTGGTTTTAGTAAACTAAAAGAGAATCCTGATAGACGGTCAAATTAGATGCTGTGATAAATAGTGCTGCAAATACATGAATGGATGAATTGCTAGACAATATCAGTGAGAGAAAGAAAGTCATAGATCGCAAAAAAAGAAAAAAAAATGTCAGGACCAAAAGAAAAAAAAGTCCAACTTTTCTTATGAAATGTAGAAAAACAAGCTTTTATCCAATGAATAAGAGTGACAGACTTGAAATAGAGCGCATCCCCCCAGATTTTGTACCAATAATTACATTTTCTAAAAGGTAGAATTTTTAAAAATACAAGAGCATTGGGCATACATAGTTGTGCTAAATGTGCATTCTCAGATGTTGGTGTGGACTTTGCCCAATACATTTATTACCACAAACTATTTAACATTCCTCCAGTGTAAATCCAAGTTTCATGAACGCTGGAGATACTGAGTTATGGCTATTTTTGTCGAATACAATACTGTGCTTAGAGGGGTTGGACTGTAGTTCAGTAGCCAGATGATTTGGAGTAATAATATTATTTTCTAACTTTTACTCATAACAGTCCAGCAATGACCCACGCCAAATTTGGTGTCAATTGGTTCAAAGGTCACGTGAAAGGGAGAACTCCCAAGTGGGAAATGTGAAACTGCCCTATTTTCTACAGTCACAATAACAGTTTTGGCTTTTGGTTTGTGTATGTGATGATTCCCTGTCATTCTTCAACTCTCTTTCTGCGCATTATGCAGTCTTTCAGTCTGCCCAAATTGAAAATCCCCTTGCTAGGTCTTTAATCAAAGGGCTCCATTCAGATGAAGGGAACAAAGGGGATGGAGGTGACCACTCCGGGCTTCGTCGCTCCATGGCACAGGGACCAAAACAGTCGACAGAGTCTCACAGGAGCTCGAGGCAAACATGCTTTTGACAAGGAGCTAACTGTGTTGGATGTCAGACGATGTAGAAGGCAGTAAACTAATTCATCACGAGGTAAAATAAGCTGGTCAAGGACAGGCGCGGAGGAAGATGGTGGTATTTAATATACCAGACAAACCAAGGGAGACAAACTGAGACAAGCATTCTTCCACATTAATAATGACAACTAAAGTACGATGAAAAATGGCACCGCTTTCGAAATGAAATTTTGTACAGATGGCTTTATGACCATGAGCCAGCACTGTGGGAAAAGCAGCTCAGTGTGAGACAAAGCATGGTCAGTCGTTGCATTAGTGAGCATACTGAAGAAAGTTAAGTGCAACAATAAACTCCAGCACATATCAACCCCCGAAGCAAGAACTTGACAAACATACTGAACAGTTGCGAACCAAGTCACAGCTACACATGCACAGACATCTACTGTCCTCTCACCTTTGCGATCAGGTTTTAGATTTCGGTCCACAGGTGGGGGTTGGCAGTCACTGAGCAGTGGCCTGCGAGGAGGGGTCTTTGGGCTTGAGCGAAATCCCATGTGGGCAGGTGGGGGAACCTGTTTTCCAAGGGAGGAGAACTCAGTGCTTGGGGTCATGGGCACATAGTTGGGTTCGTGCATTGGCTCTGACAAACTGCCTGAGTGATGATGTGATGGGGAGTTGGCACTCATTGGTACGTAGTTCTGGTCGACCTCTTCTGTTGACTGACTACCCAACGGCATCATTCCTTTGTTTTTCTGACAAGGCATACAAAGGTAATCTTAATTAAAGACACAGTAGGTACAAGACCGCCTTTAAACTCGCAACACAGGAGAACAGAATTAATCTTCACTGGCATCTTTACGAAATGGTTGCTGGCCAACACTTAACACAAAAAACACTGGGCAGGTATCTGTATACACATAGCTTTTTCTTTCTGGATGTTGTTTTTTGGCAAAAACACAGAGGAAATCCTGAAAGCCAATGATAACACCAAGATGAACTACCAAATACAAACTAAAACATCCAGATAGGCAGTTGTTGATATGAGCCAGGATACATTACACATGACTGTGAATGTCAGCAGGTAACAAGGGCTAGCACTGAGGCAGCAGCCCGACTAGCCCTAATGTTGAAAAGTGAATAATAAAATGAAGTAAAGATGCATCAGTCTCTTTGCTGTCACCAACTATGTAGCCACTGTTTAAAATGACAACTAAAAGAGTGTGAAATATTGTGGTCATTTAAAAACTTCAGCATGTTACAAATAGTGTGTGACTGCTAACTGTCAATGTGAAAAATGACTCAGAAACTTTGGATGCAGCAGGCTTGTTTCTGTGCAATATCCTCCTGGAACCATTAAAGAAAAGTAGAATACCCTTATATATAAAGATGACTTTCCCTGCTCTCCTTGAAATATTTTTTAACCGTACTCCATGCTAACACAATTCATTTCCAGTGAGCACTTAGTGTTGTAGGTATATTTAGAGCTACAGTTGGAGCTTTACTGTGAGACACTAGGTATTTTTTTGCTAATTTGGATTTATTTGAAAAACTCTGTTTTTAATATTAATGACATTTGTAAAAGCATCACCATCATAATACAAAACATTTCCCTGACAATGCTGTCAGCCACTACTTAAAAGCACCTCAGCGTTCTTCAGTATTATCATACACTAGTGACCTTTGAAACAACACTTACAAAGTAGCTGTTCATGCTTTCATTGAAGTCGAACGAGCAGCTTTTGTCAGAAGGGAATGATCTAGGAATGTCATAGCAGTCCTGGGATCCAAAATCTGCAAAAAACAAACACATAATTGCAACACACAAATACTGTAGCTGTACTAAGATAACCCTACATTATTTTTATTTCTGCAAATTATTATCCATAAATGATGTGCACAGCACATTGTTGTACTTTTCACTTCCCTTTACATTTCTCATTTAAGGTCCATTTGTGCTATAGCACAATCCAAGTAATACTCACAGTAGAGGCCTTAATAAAATATTTGTTTTCATGACTGTGCAGATTTATTTATTCAGTAGCACAGTACTCAGCAGGTCTATGTAGGTGCTCTACTGAGTAGCATATAATTACTGTTTTTTGTATTGTCATTAAGTAATGATGCAGTTGCTAATGCATTTCACTTACGACCACAAAAACCACAACCGTGCAAGGAAAAGCTTAGAAGACAAATGAGAGTGTCAGCTGGGGAAGCCTAAGTAGGGAGGGGGGAAATATAATGAGGTATGGCATTTCTGTAAAATACTGTGACTACATTCAAATAAACACATACACTTCAAATAGGTCAGATGAAACCCATTTTTCATAGCACATATCATTCACCTGAGCCAAGTTATTTTTGTTCAGTGGTTCTGTATAGTGTCTCTGTATTTTGTTTTCCCCTACATCTCTAGACCCACTGACCTGCTCTGCCAACAAGATACAAAGCAAACTTTTCCCATCCTCTTGTAGGGCTAAATATTACCCAAGTCACCAAATATATTCAATTTAAATATATACAAATGATCACGTGAACCTGGGATGATTTCTATTTTCACAATGTTTGCTTGTTTGACAGCTTTCACAAGTGGACAGCACAGGTAAGACCAACAAGTGAGTTCTATCAAAGACCCAAGTCACTGAAATTGATTTTGCCACAAAAACTTCTGCAATGGCATCTGCCACCACCAGAGGGAGAGAAGAGTAAGAGGAAGACTAATTATGCTGTCCATTCTTACTCTACAAGTTTGTCCTTTCTTGACAGTTGTGTTCTATTTTGAGCCCTTTAAAATAAGTAAATAAATAAATAAATATTGAACTCAAGAAATGTTATTACAAAGGGCATCGCTTGTCAATTCAAAACATTTTCCTGTACTTTTATCAGATTTTAGCACAACCCTTTCTTGATTAGATAATACTAATGTGTCATGTGGTGTCTGATTAGAATGATAGGACCAATGTTCCTAAAGGCAGCGATGGTAAAGCTCAGTACGATAAGCCTTGACAAGCTGAATGGATTATAAACAGAAGAGTAAAGGGGAAAACAGATAATGCATCCGGAAGAAAGAATCCATCAAAAGAAAGTAAAAAGGGTACCTAAGGGGCGGGAAAAAAAAACTCCAACACAAACCTTTTCGGAGTCGCGAACAGTCCACAGTGCCGATAGTGTTGCTGCGCAAAGCCTTACTCCCAGCGCTAGTAGGCACACAGTAGTTTCCATCCGTCTCTGAGGCTGAGCGAGGCACGCAATAGGTGTCCGTAGGTGAGCGCTCAGCAGGGGGCGGCGGGGGTCCTGAGGTGGAACTGAGCGAAGGCTTGGGTGGTCTGGGTGGGGGTACTACATCTCCCCCACCCTCTGATCCCCCTACCCCTGCTGATGCTGACAATGTACGGGGTACCTGGTAGGTACAGTTTGCACCAGGTGTGGGTGGGATGTCATAACTGATAGAAAGGTTGCGCATCTGTGTCTCCATTGAAGGTTTCCGTGACGGTGTGTTGAAGACATAAAGGTCGCCGTCCCCGCCGTCTGGATGAGCCGGAGGGGAGGAAGCTGACTTGGGGAGCAGCACAGTGTCCTGGGAGTAGCTCCGAGGGAGGTGATAAAGGCCGCCGTCAGTTGAGAGTGAGGCACCGCGTGATGGAGGCGAGTCGTAGATGGTGGAAGGGGCAGAGGCGGGAGTCGAGTGCTGCGGGAAGAAGCCATTGTGCGAAGTGTGTTTAGCTGAGGAAGTGGAGGATGTAGGCGTGCGGTGAGATGGGAGGTTGTCATTCAGGTCTGTCTCTGAAGAGGTAGACTTGGAACACTCAGCATGGGCTCTAAAAACACGACAGACATGCGAACCAAAGAATTAACACCTACAACAAAACATGGTGATTTAAAGAAATCCACACAGTCAAAGAAAACCTTCATACCACTGTCTGCAAGCCATAGTTAGTACCACAGTTATACTCAGACACCTCTTATCAGTAATCTTTGGCAACTGTTGCCATATTAGCAACTCTTTGTGCATAAGGATTAGGACCGAGGTACTTGGTAGCTGTTGGGTAATTTCTAAACATGCAGCTAATAACAAAATCAATACAGCATTAGGTAAAGCACATCTAAGTCTTTCTGATCTAGAGATTGGATAGTGGCTAAAGATTCAAACACCTTAAATCCAGCACTAATAATCATTATTTACAGTCATGTAAATCCACAGCAGAGCGGTGTATTAAGTGTTTGTGTCTCTCTGTTGGTCTGTCTTGTATACATGTGTAGCACTCCACACAAGCAGGCAGTTCCAGCTGGATGGCTGGCCACTCACAGACTAGCCTGTGGAGGAAGTGTCTTGCTCTCACACTCCTCCAGGAGCAAATACTCCTGGTCCCCCTCCAATGGAGAGTGAAGCTCCACTGAGCTACACACAGCATACAGCAGAGACAAGGACAAGAGTGGCAGCACAGTTGAAACGTACAGAAAGAATAAATGCTCTGGAGCTGTACAGCGAGAAGCTTACATCACAGTGTCACACTCCAACACAGTGAATAAAGAGAGTCATACATACACTATAAGCACACAATCACACAAACAATCTCACCTGTTGGGTTCAGGCTTTTTGCTCTCACAGTTGGCCAACCACAGGTAATCCTGGGGCTCCTCTGAACTGGACTGAGAGTCCAGGTGTCGCACACTGACCGGCTGGTATGGAGGTGGCACGGAGGACAGCACTGCTGCTGCTGGACCAACAATATTACCCAGAGCTGGGTGTGGGGGCGTATCCACAACCAGGCCCCCAGTGGCTGCCTGGTGAGCTGCTTTTGCTGTGTCTGAAGGAGGAAAATAAGAAGACTGTGGTTGACTTCTGACAAAAATTTCATCTTTATATATGATCTCATTCAGTATATCCAAATATGTGTGCCTCAAAACACTAAAGCGTAAAATGAAATAAAAGGTTCTTAGGAGCTGACCATGGAGGAGGTGGGTAACTGCTACATGCTCCAACAAGGAACAAAACACACTGTAATAAAGTTTTCACTGTTGTAGAGAAAAGCAGACGTGTCATTTTGAACAGCATAGGCATCACAGTGAATGAGAGAAGTTCACTTTTAGACTAATTTAGTGGCTAAATTGAAAACTAAAATGAAATTGAGATCTGCCAGACTTGGCTCAGGTCCACTGGATCCAGTAGACATATTAAACTCATTACACTGAGCCTAAATCCTGTTTGGACATTTTATACTGAATCTTCCACATTTGTATTTTGGATTATAACCACAATGTTGTATTTTTGTATATCTGACTAGTCCAAGTGTTTGTTAACCTGTACCTCCCCAAGTCCTTCAAGAAAGACCAGGAACTGCTCCTGCAGTGGGCCCGTAAAGCCCATTGAGATAGTACAGGTGATATTGGTGGCTGATGATATTAGTCACAAAGTAAACACTAAGCTGTGTTTGCTAATGTCAACTCTGGCAGAGTAAACGTAAACCCAAGCTGTTTCCTAGCAACCCAATTCCAATGTAACGGTCTATAGTATCTGGCAGCAGTTTGACCGACACTACATCAACTTCACATCTCTAATGTGTAAACTGGAGCGGCTGCTGCACATAGGCTCGCTCTAATGAAACAGCAACTAAAGGAAAGCTTTCCGATATCACTTTGTATCCCCACACAATGCAAGAAATCAAGCCCAAATCAAAGCAGTTGGCCTCCAGCTGAAACACTCTTACCTGATCCAGCAAAACACAATGACACCTCACTTCCTTTTAAAGCAGAAATCCTGCAGGAAATAAATGTGTTTCGAATACAGAACACTGTCCTGTCTGAGGTGAGGAACATTGGTACTAACAGCTGGTATCACTGCAGTCATGACTGGGAATTTCCAGACAAAAGCACCATCATTAATCAGTACTCTCACTCATCATTTCACGTCTAACATACACACACATGAAGCACAATTAAAAGGTTTATCTGTTCCTAAACAGTCTGACTACAGTTATTTTGCCTGCCCACACATCTTCTTAGAGATTTAAGTCTGTGCTTTGCCGCGCTGTAATTTATCAAATATCAGAATGCTTTTCAAACACTTCTGCTTGAGCTGATTGTTGCACTGCACTGAGAGCCAAGATGGCTGATGCATATGCTGGGTGACGTACTTATATGTTTTCGTTCCACTATTCTCTACTTTTTTCTCCTTTCCACTCTTTTCTATTACTGATGTGGTTCGAGTAAGATGCATGAGTTCTCTTCTTTTAAAAGTTTAAAGTGCATTTTTCGCTCCTCTCTTCACCTCTGCTACCTCCTTGTCTTTTTGCCATTTCTTAGTTGAAGCTTTAAGTGCTGAATCACATAGGAAAAGGGAAAATCCCCTCTGCATGTACTAATCTATACCTCCTACACGGTATCTGAGAGCCTTCATTCCCCCAGCTCTCCTAATGTTCCTTACTCTAATATCTGCCCAGCTATAAAGCACTCTAGTGTGGCCACACACGACAGCGGAGTGGGAGTTGTGCCTCACATGCAGAGAAGTGCAAGCAAGCACAAAACAGAGAGCCAAGGACATTCTTTTGTAATAGGAACTGTGAGGAAGGCTATCTGCAAGGATATATTTCTTTATACCTAGCCTCTTCTTGAACAGTCTTACTGTTAGTTTGCACATCAGGATTTTAAAAGCCAGTTGCAATAATTCTGCTGAAGAGATGTCATGAATGTTGTTATCAGGGTTAACCTGCAACACTAGCTATGTAACAGAGCTGGAGGCGTAGTCACAATACAGCGGAGAGGACGACCTTGGAGCAGCGCAATCAGTGACTCAGTCGCCAACTTTGAAAAGTACCTTCTCCTAAAAGAATCTGAGTGGCATGATATGTCAAACAGTGAACGAGTGTGACTTCAATGCCAATTACTCTCACACTAAAACACTTACATGTTTAGTTGAGGACGAGGAGGAGAAACTATAGAAGACTGAGACTGAGGTGCAAATAGTAGCTAAGGTTGCAATTAGGCTCAAAGACGGAGAGACAGAGAGGGAAACAAGAGCATGCAAACAAGAGGGAATGAAAACCAGATAAGAGAAAAAGAACGAAAGAAGGGCAGTGAGACGGACAGGCACACAATGCTTTGATTATCCAGTGCTGGGAACAAGGGTAATGTGAGCCTCAATACAACACATGGATCAACACATGGATCATTAGTCCTTGGCTGAGAACTATGCTGAATAGAGGCCTTCTGGCACATTCAGCTGGTTCAACTCCTTCAGAGAGAAAGATGCAGACATTTGAGAGGTACAACATTGACATCAAAAAAGAAACCAATCAAATGTAGAGTACTTTGCCTATAAGCTAATGTTTTTTTTTTAAAATCACTTTCGGGAATGTATTTGCCCAAAGCTACTAAACAGGAATTTACTGCTGGTGCATGTGTTTTACTGTGGTGTCCATGCACTAGACATTGTAGAGAGACAAGCATGGCCAGCTGTTCATTATCTTTCATTCATCTATTCTTCCTAAACAAAACCGATCTGGTAGTGGTTAAAAGAAAAATAATTTATAAAAGTTTAAAACTTTAAAATACTTCAGTACAGCAGGTGACCATATCTGTGGACAGGCTTCAGATGATCAGAGGATGAACATCACCCCCCTCTGTAAGGGTGCATCAGTTTATGCCTTTGCTGTGGTTGTTAAATGCAGACTTTTTTTGAACAGCTAAGGCTACAAATAACCTTTGTTTAACATTACGTTAGTCAACAAAAAATATATATACTGCTGGTCCTAATCTATCTATAGTGTTCTTAGAAATTTAATCACAGCCCAGCAGACAAAGCTAAGAGAAAAGGTTTTTAAAGTTGTTCATCACTTAAAAAAACAAAACAAAACAACAAATGCTATGAAGCAATTCAAAACAGATTTCTGCTTGCTAATCAAATGACAGAAAAAAAAACTCTGACATGAATTTTTAATTTTCACTTTGTGTGAAACCTGACACAGTGAATTTAAATTTTACAGATCAACAGCATTGAAATGTGACAAACTATCTAACAGCAACTCTTACCGTCTTCAGTGGGATTAAAACCACATATGTCGCAGATGTGCCGAACCCACTTATTCATCTCGTCCTCCGAATCAGCCACAAGGTAGAAGACGCGGTCAATGGTCTTGATGTCGAATATGAAGCTGCGCTCCAAGTCTTTCTTGCTGAATGTCAGTCCAGCATCCACCTTAAGGAAGCAACAAACAGTGCTTAGCTTAATGTGGCATCAGCCAAGGAAAAACAGGTGACTGACTATTTACACGCAGTCAAAGCTGAACCTACATTCATGTACTGGTATAAGAGCTGAAATAATGAGTTGAGAACTAGTTACTAAAACAATCAATAACTATCAATATTGAGTCATTTAAAGAAAAAAAATACAAACATCTTCTTGACCAAATGATTAAACAAAAGTATTAGTTGAAGCCCTACTAAGTAGCACCAAAAAGAAGCATGTTAAAAGCTTTGCACCACTTCTTTGTCATGATGGACTAAATATAGACACACATAGGCCACAGACCGCTTAAAACATAAATCATACTTTCAAATTTCAAACTCTTCAAAATAGCAGAATTTGCTGTCAAATTATCAGGTTTGTCCAGTTTTGACTTTTATTTGTTTTGAGGACAAGACCTGATCATTTAAATCTTAAAAATCATTACTAATTAATGCAAATCTCTCAAATGTGTCAGTATAGTATGAGGGACACAAATAGCTTAACATCTGACTGGATTTGCAGGCAGGTAGTAACAAGGAACCATACCTGCTCACACAAGTTGAGATCAATCACACGAATGGGCTTCTTGGTATGGTCATTCTTGTAGTACTCCAACACGTCTGGGTCGCCTGTCAGACGGCCACTGCGAAGAACAAACCACCGCTTCTTCCATGCCTGCAGGGTGAGCACAGAAATGAGGCCAAAGGTTATATGTGTGTTCTCACAATGACTGCTCCATTCCCAGATGACCACAGGCTGGCCAAATGCTTTATTTTTCCAGTTTAGCCAATGTGTCCTAGCATAGCTTGTGTCTCTGTGTGCATTCTCCACCAGCTGCACTGCCCTCACTAAAGAATAGTGAGAGCCAGAGGGAAGAGGCCCGCAACCAGAAATATGTGTCTGGGATAACCAGAACAAAAGCCACATAGTTTGGTCTAGCACCCTGACTGGAGTGAATAACCAAATCTATAAAGAGAAACAGGCAATTAGGTCTTTTCTTTCAAATCCAATTTGTTGTCTGTGAGAAAAAGGCACCACATGGCAGACAGAGGAAAAAGACATGTAAGCAGATTAGATCTGTGATTTCAGTTTCTGGACATAAATAAAGGCTGTAGCAGACAGTTTAGTAATGCAATCCTTATCCTGAACTACATTAAGAACATTAATCAGACAGTGACATGTATTCATTCCTATCTGGTATAATTTTATATAATTAGTCATAGATTATTGGGGGGAGAAGATAAATATATGACACACTGATTCTAGTTCCAAGTCATTTTTATTTATCACCACCATCATTTAACTACACAGCTTCAGAACTTGCTTACATATCACGCATAGTTGTCATATCATGCGTTCTTCTTGAAAAGATAAATGTCACTAAGAGTGAAAGGCACAGCAAGATTCATTTTGGCACGACACTGACTCCTGTTTGCAGTTTTATTTTTTTTAAAACATATCCAATAGGAATTCAGTTAAATGCAGACACAAAGGGGTCATGAACTCTTGATTTTGTTGAGTCATGGCAGTTGGGCTGACTGTGATGTTTTACTGCTCAAAATAAGCTTTCCACAATATACTACCAAGAGTTGTCTAAGAGGAAAGAGAGGATTTTGGCATAAAGTAGGGGATTTATCCAGAAATGTTTCATCTCCCTTTACTGCTTAAGGCAGAGCAAGAGTGGAAATTTTGCAGAAGATTCATCACCTGAGCTGTGTAACAAAACATGAACACCAAAATGAGACGGTCAGCTGAATACCAAAAACTTTCTGAGTGCTGTTTGAAATGACAGACAAGACCCAGTAGACAAACAACCACCACTGAGATCAGACAGATCAGGAAGCATACCAACAGAGTGCAAGGAATGCAAACTAAAGCTTGTTGTTGTTGTTTTGGGGTAAGATTTTGACCGTATTAACAATGCTCTGGGTTTGGTTTTTTTTAATTCTTCAGCTGTTTTTCCATCCACAGGGTGTCCTTTGTTAGAGGGCCAAGCCTCACACTGAGAGAGCATGAAGAGCACCAGACCTTTCCCTCCACAAACAGGATGAAGAAACAAGCAGACCTGCAAAGCTCTTAGATTTTAAACTGCAACAGACAGTGCATGGATAAAGACACGAAAACATTTAACAACATACCCGTACAAAAAGAATCTAAAGAAGATTTACATCACAGTGACATAATGCACTCACACATGCAGCACATGTTTCACACACTCAAGTTCAAAAGGCCTGCATTATATAACCCCTAACACACCCGCAGAGTCCAAATGAGGCTTAAACCTATTAAACCTACTTTCTTTAAAGCAGGCCCACTTAAATATCAAATTTAACTGCAAAAGCTGAAGAGAATGTGCAAAAACAACACTGATGTGTCTGTGTTGTGTTGGTTGGACAAAGATGGTGGGTGTGGAGAGGGAACCTCTCTCTCCTGCATATGACAAAGCAATCTTGGGTCAAGTTACCCTGTGGGGAACAGAAGGACCAAGAGCTTGGGTTACAGCGAGGCCAGGCCCGCCCAGTGTGAAGAGTGTTGACAACTGGGTAAGTCGTACACATTCAAGACGGAGGCAAGTGAGACCTGTTTGACAAAATTGCTTTGCTATAATGAAGCTCTTTTAAAATTCAAGAGAAATCAACAGGTCAGTTATAGTTAAAAGATATACAGCAGAGAGTAACTACATTAAAAAAAAAACTTTCATAGCTACCGAATTAAATCAACGCAATATTGCGGGATCTTCATTACACTTTGTCACATATCAAAGTGCAGCAAAGCACATACAGTATTCACAAACAATTATGTTATGCAGGTTGCGATCACCTGCAATTTCTTTTCAATTGAAAATCAAATTAAATATCAAAAAACAGCATATGATATCATTGACACCTCAAGATCACAAAAAATACCTCTTTATACATGGGGCTATAACTAAGGCTGGGCACTCTTATCTTATATCATGGATGACCTTAATTTGGCATGTGATCTGCTGATTGCATCATTAAATAAAAATAGCACGCTGTTCAGGCTTTCCTACTCCACCTGTGACATAATTATGAAGACGCCCACTGGAGGCACTCTGTATCTTGGAGGTATAACTTATTTTTCAAACAGATGACAGCATAGTGGACAAAGAATAGCGTTGAGCAGACCATAACCCTGAGAGAGGAGTTGTTCTGAATTTTTATGAGATACTGTTCAGACTGTCGATGTAGACAGATACCGTTTATGTTGGACAGCGTAAAGTAATTATGTGAGAACCGTCTCTGTTGTCGTGTCAGCATTCAGTTTTATCCACTGAATTTACTCATTATGCAGCAACGAAACAATACGCTTTCTCTGTCGTATTTAAGCTTATATTCAGATTAACAGTTTTCTGTTTTCACTTCATATACTGATGGATTTAATAACTAGTTTTGCTTGACGTACAGTACAGTACATTTTGTCATTCTTGCTGAGGCAATTACTGTTGCAATGTGTGGGGTTGGCGGTGCTGCGTAATTGAAAGTAGTAATTTATCGATATCTGGCAGTACATGGTCAGAGTTATTATGTTCGTACACAAATGCTGCAACTTAAGAGGAAGCAATTCCAATGTTCCCTTTCTTGATGTGTTAATTTCAGAAAGTAGTAAGACTAAACTATGTCTGGAGTCATGTTAAGGTCCCCTTTGGTGACTGTGCTCTCTGATAGGAGTTTTGTCGTGCTAAATATGAATATATAAATTATATATGAACTTATAGGGTGAGAACACAACAACTATCAAACAAACAAAAAGGGTAAATAGACAATAAATACATTAACTTAACTGCAGAGAAAAAAAATGCAAGTATTCAAAATTTAGTGGTGCAAAATAAGCATATTAGGTAATTAAACAAAAAGACAATAGAAGAAAGAGGATTTTCAAGACAGCTGTTCACTGCTGGGTCAAAATTTTATCATCAATTCTAATTTTAAATCAATAGGCAACACTGTGTTGGGGGATAGTGACGGGTAAAATCAGCTTGCAATTCCAAGAGTTGGAGCCCTGAGAGAACCTCCACCCAGTGTTACAGCACTGGCACATTAGCTTGGTTAGAGACTGTAGTGGTTCTGGGATGACAAGCTGTATGCTAACTGGAGCATCTCTCCTCCATCTGTGGTCTTTCACACACTTCTTCTCATGCACAATTATACACACTTGTGCTGTTTTCTACGACTGATTTGTACCACCCATTCAGCACCAGGCATGTGAGTACAAATAAACACTTATATAATGATACACAAATGAAAACACTACCCAAGGTAAGAAGCAGCATAACAGTTCTTTTCCTCCCTGGTGGCCGACCCTCACACAGCTAAATGCACAGAGAGAGCCACTCTCACCTGATGGAAGTAGTGTGTTTCATTGCCATGGATACATACATCACATATATTTATATGCAGACAAGACTACAGGAAAGCTGTAGAAATCTGATCAAGGCAAGACACTAAAGAACACATTTGCATGTACTACCATAACCCAGTTAAAAATCCGTTGTGGACAGTAATCTGATTTTTCCTCTACTTCCTGCCACAATTTTGAACAAATCCGAGCAGATTTAAGTGTATTAGAGGAATGAACTGCAGCCTGAAGTGTTCTTTTTTATGAGTGCATTTTGACTGACAGTGCAGTGGGAGAACAGGCACCACAGTTTTTCTTTTTCTTATTGTTTTTTTATCATGTGTGACTGGATTCACAATACATTTAAGAAAACTGACATACATATAAACTCATCTATTTTAGCATGTCTTTCACTGGTACTTAAATTTCTGATTGACTAAAAATGGATGTAATGATGCACTGCTTCAAATCATCGTCTAGATTTTCATCTGTCTGAATTGCTACTGCAGCAATATTTTCCATCTAAGGAACTGTTCATGTACTCCTGCACATGACATGTACATGCTCTCTGAAACCAGATTTCTAATGGAGAAATTTAACAGGATGTCTCTTTCCTACATTAAAAAAGCTACGATACTTGTATACGTAGCCAAAGAAAACCCATAATTAATAATAAAAAAAAAAAGGGCTGAAAGAATCAACTGCACTGATTTTCACCAGAACTGTCTGAGTGTAGTACTAAAATTGTTTCCAAACAAAATATGACATTTGATACAATCACATAAAAATTCTCCACATACTTGCTTTAAGAGTAAGTAAACATGAACAGACAACATGACAGAACCCAAACCACATACTTCGAACCCAGTACCACAACAAAGACTAAAAGAGTATGACCAGACTTTTGTGCCAAAGTCAAAGTCACTGCCCATCATCATTACATACCTCTTGTCAATTCTCATGAAGAATATGATGACATCTGTAGTCCTGTTGTTTGTTTTGTGCATTCCATTGCAGCCAGTGATGTGGTAAATCAATAGCTAAATCCTATATTGCAGTGCTTAATGACTGCAGAATACATACATGTCTATTCCAGCCCTCCTTAATACACCAACAGGTTCAGTTCACTCAACAATCACAGAGCCCACTTCAGTTTGTACGAGTCCAGTGTTTGCTACCCCGAGGCTGGGAATGGGACGGCATGGGACGATACTGGACTGGGATGGGGAGGGCTCCCCTGGCATGGCAGCTGTGCCTGCCAACCCCTCTTTATCCACCACCCCCTTTTCTCTAAGCATGTCTTCTGATAGGATGAG